AACTCTGGTATCTGCACAAGAAGTGCAGAGTGTAGTATGAGTACAACCGACCCCATGTACTCTGTAAGTGTCAAGCCTAACTTCGACGAAGTAGTGACGAGGCTAAGGCAAGTCGCTTACATTAACATGCACGCAATAATAATGATAATAACAGGAATAGAGATAAGACAGGTAAATTGTATCAATAATTGAAGTCAATTCAGCAGTCATAATCCTTCAATTAATTTTCGTTGCGGCGTGCAGCCCGATCCAACAATATAATCTTTCAATTAAATTCCGTTGCGTCGTGCAACCCGCTCCAACAATATAAACTTAAAATAAATCCGTTGCGTCGTGCAACCCGATCCCCCAATATATTCATTTTCATTTCCGTTGCGGCGTGCAACTCGCTCCAGCAATATAATTTAACAACTCTTAAATGTAATAAAAATACTCCAATAATTACCACGTTCAATAAGAACTTATTAGGCAACCAGGCATACAATAATTATAATTTATTTAGAAAATAAATAATGACAAGTAGCAATTAATTGTGGAAATCAGGGAGAAAATAGGCAATTTAATATTTAATATACTAAATATCAAGAAGCAATTAAGACACATAAGTCAAATAAGCATGTAGCAATTATATCACGAGTTCAAGACATAATATTGGAAAAGGAATATAAGAGAAATAATTAATATAATAATTAATTCATGATTTAAAATAATTTATGATTTTCAGATAAATATGCAAACAATCAATTTGATGAACTTACACCAAGTCCAAAAATTGATCTGTTAACTAACCGAAACTCACTCGAGGCCTCCGGGACCTCAACCAAATACACCAACAAGTCCTAAAACATCACACGAACTTAGTCGAAGCCTCAAATCACATCAAACAACGCTAATAACATGAAGCATACCCCAATTCAAGCTTAATGAATCTAAGAAATTCCAACTTCTACATTCTATGGCGAAACCTAACTAATCAAGTCTGATTGACCTCAAATTTTGCACACAAGTCATAACTGACATAACAGACCTATTCAAATTTCCAGAATCAGATTCCGACCCTGATATCAAAAAGCCAACTCCCCGGTCAAACTTCCAAACTTAAATTTCTATAATAGCCATTTCAAGCTTAATTTAACTACGGACGTCCAAATAATTTTTCAGATACGTTCCTAAGTCCAAAATCACCATACGGAGCTATCGGAATTGTAAAAATACTGATCCGAGTTCGTTTGCTCAAAATGTTGATCGAAGTCAAATCAAATGAGTTTTGATGCGCAAATTCACATTTTAATCAATTTTTTACATAAAAACTTTTTGAAAAAATTTACGGATTGCGCACGCAAGTCGAGAAATGCTGAAAGGTACTATTTGGGGTCTCAGAACATAGAAATGAATGTTTAAAATTAAAGATGATATATTGGGTTATCACACAAAGACCACTACAACACTCAAAAGAAATAACCTTCTTTTGATATTCCCACCCCACTACAATATCGCTCACACTCTCAATTTTTCTCATAAACTATTTTCTTATATCCTGTTTGTGATGCATCACTCTTTCTTTCTCTCTTTGTTGGTATGTCTGAAGAAGTGAGAAAGCTCCTACTTTTATAGAAGAAAATAACCTTGGGCTCCAAGTACTCTACAATAGAGTGCTAATTTTCCTCCACAAGTTGCATGCGTTGCCTCCAAGCAATAAATTCTCAGCCAAGTATTTTCCTTAGGCACATGCCTATTACTTTGGCTCCTGAATGAAATGGACCCCATCAAAAGAGTGATTAGAGATAGCAATTGCTGCCTTTATTTGTGCTTGCACTCACTGGAGGACCCAAAAATTTTTATAAGCGGGTTCAAATAAACACTAGAACCGTGATGGCAATCAACAATAGTACCTCTTTGGTTTGATATCCAGAGTTTTAACTTTATGGGTTCTGTTGAAACACGACTTCAAATTCTATTAACTTGGTTCTAAATTTAATATCATACATATTTAATTAATTTTTTAACACAAATACATGAGTAAAAACTACTAGGTTAAGTTGAACTAGTAGCCGGGCTTCTAGCTCTGCCCCTGTTAGCTGAAAGTGACTCCAAACTTCTTGTGGATTGTGTAAATAGAAGCAAGGCTACCCCATGAGGAATCTATAATGAAATCAAGAAATTGATCGATTTTCATTTAATACTTTTTTTCTCTTGTTTTAGCGCGTCCTCGTGTTCTAGAATCCTAGATCCGCCTCTTTGTGTACTCAACTTGTCTTGGGAATAAACTTCCTTATTATATTACAGTTGTCTATACTTTCAAATCTATGCATGAGTCCTCATTCAGAATGAAGTTAACACGTACGGCTTATTTTAGCTGGGGTATATCGTTCCTTCACTGTACTAACAATAATTTCAGAGCAGTGGAAACTACAAATCTTCAAATCTTTCTTTGGGGCAATTGAACATTGAACCAAAATGAAAATGTTTCGAAGTAATACAACGATTCATTTGTGAAGAAGGCAAACCGCCAAATTTCATTCAGGTGAAATTGTTTATATCAAAGCTAGTAAGGTACACAAAGCAGCTCAGTAACGTCAAAATTTAGAGATCAGAGTTGATAAAATTTGAGGAGCTAATATCTTAATTAAGTCTTCTTTTTTAACAGAAAAACTAGAATAATTGTTGTCATTCTTTCAACACAAGAAAGCTTCAATTAAGGAAGAAAGAATATTGAGATGAGACAATTAGTAAATTTGATTAGGGCCACTGATTGCATATATTTTGTGGCATCCTTGGGACATAAAGAAAGATTGACAATATACCTTAATTATGAGTTCAGGGCTAAGATATATATACTTAATTAGGAACGTCGCTCACGTAAACGTTAATTAATGCAATACAATCTAACAAGAATTACACAAATCTAAAGTAGATTGCAAGAATTGGATTTGCCTTTTTCTAATGCATGCAATTTAAACAGCTCCTAAATATGACCTTATTTTCTTTGAACAACTCAATTTATGAGATCATAATTTATTTAAGTTCTCTTAATATCATGTCACATAAAAGATAAGTTCATATAATTCAGCTTTATCTTGCATAAACTGAGAGCTTCATCGCTATTATCATTGATTTCTTTCAAACAGAGAAAATATACCATCGAATTCATTCAATCTAAGGTTTTCTGCTAATAAGGAATATTTCCTAATTTTTAACTTTTTTTAAAATATGCTTATAGAATTTACACCTTGTTAGTGCCATTTTAAGTGTCCTAGTTGGTAACGGTAAACACCATTTCTGACATAAAAGTCAGGAAATCAAACGGAGTAGTTTTCATCAAATAACTTATCAAAGAAATAACTTGTTCTAGAGAGTAAGGAAGGAAATGAATATGGAAATCATCCAAACATTGTAGATTAAAATCGCTTTCCTTTGGTCAAACTCAAGCTGCCATTTTACTAATATTTATGAACTATTACGAACTTTCGCCCACGTTATAATATTAATAAAAAGCGTTTTTCAAATGATTTGGCCAAACAAAAATTGCTATTATCCGAAGTGCTTTCTTTATAACTCAATTTGGCAAAACGTACTTTTCAAACTAAGCAAATTTTTGAAAGTTTTGCCCAAACATGTTCTAACACCAGCATCCATATTAAAATGACATAATTACAATTGGATAGAGTAAAGTGTAACTAAGCAAAGTAAAACTTGAGGGCACACTCTCACTGCACCTTAGAATCGATGGTTTTAACCAATTTTGTTAAATACATACATCGTACACAAACATAAAGTAAGTTGATAATCTCTACTTGAACTTCAGATAATAATTCTTCTTTTTTCTCCCTGGAGAACCTAGAGTTATAATATGCGCCCAACTTGTAGGGCATCAGTTTTTCTTTTGTTTTTCTTTTTCCTAAAATCTCCTTAAAATTTGCACCACCGAGTTGGTGCAGTGATCTATAGATATTGCATTTGCACGTAAGTTTTCTTTTTAGGAAAAATAAAAGTAAAATAAAACCCCGAGATCACTGTACCAAAAGAAATGAAAGAAACGTATAGAGAAGAATACAGAATGCAATTGAGGGGTGAAAAACAAAGGAACAAAAGAAGGGTATTTATAGCTGTTGTGAGGGATTTTTATAGGATTAAATATGGGAATCCTATAAATAACTTTCTATTATTGATTTGGTTTACATTAGATTTGATAAGCATTAAAAAATAGACCGAACCCTTTTAAACTTGAAAACCTACCATAAACATATTCTTAGTTTTTAGAAATTAGACATCATACAACGGGCAGGTTATTACTTTTTTTTTCTTTATTTGCCGGTCAACATTTAATTAACTTCAAAAATTGTCATCTCTATATAGTACTAGTGTAGAATTGGCCCGGGCCCATTCTTTTATTTTATAAAAAGAGTGGATAAATTTTTATGAGATGTATCAAGTTTTTGTTATTATAGATATAGTTTGAGAACCTCAATTAGAGGGGATCTTTTATATGGATTCAAACGCTATTATCCTGGAATTCTCTCCGCATAAATGAATTTTATTTAATTGTAATAATGTAATAGTTCACGTGAGCCATTACATTTCAACTTCCAGAAGTAGATTTGCTAACTTAAATAACTTTTGGCGTACAAATATATTTGGGAGCATTAGCTTATTTGCAGTCTGTCATATTCAAACATTATCTTTGATCGCAATGAGTTTCATCTTCAACAGAAAAACAAATGGGTTCTTTCTGTCATCACCGGCCACAAAAGAATTGGATTGATTAATAAGATTAAAACAGTGTAGTTTTGCACTTCAAGTGAACTTGTAAGATTTTAAGAACTCATATTCAATAAGATAGGGAAACTTTATAATAACGTTTATATAAATCAAACTGAAATTTATTCCAACAGGGGGAAAAATTGCAAATTTGAAAGTAATTTTGAGGCGAGGAAAGACTAACATTCACCAGGAAAGTACGATGAAGATTAACTTGGTATTAAAAGGGTTGGGTTACGGGAAAGGAAGAACACATGACCAGAATCTTAAATTAAATTAGTACTTGCATAACACTACTGTTACCGGGCAACAATGGGCCCAAGCATACCGAGTAAAACTTCTGAAGCCAACATTCTCTACCACTTTCACGCACGTATATAATGGTGCCACAAGAATCAAGGTTATATATATGGGCAACTACGACTAAAGAGAGACAAAGGAAAAGCAAACTTACTACTTTGATTCCTATATGATCCCTAAACTCAGTAAAACATGAAGCTACTGCTACAAAGGAGATTCAACAAGAGCAAAAAGGCAATCATGGCAGTATATAAATTTTCAAATAAAAGCTGTTCGCCCACTCCTCCTGCTATGTCTGTCATATGTAGGGTCGAATTTGTCAACAAGCATGTTCATTGTTCTGCAACCACCAAAGAAAATAAAAATATCTTAGATACTGACAGAAAATATTTTATTAGAAATCTCCACACATAAATAAGCTAGCAATACTCCTATTTATAATAGTATGAACCAGAAACATTAAATATGTGTAACGACCCAGCCAGTCGTTTTAAAAGTTGTAGCCCCACTTCCGTATTTACTGCTCATTCTGTACTTTATAACTGATATATGACTTGCCGGAGTAATTGGTTTAGGTCCGGTGAGGTTTTGGAATGAATTGGAACACTTAGTTCCAAGTTTTAAAGCTTAAGTTCAAATAGTGACCGAATGTCGACTTATATGCAAACAACCCCGGAATAGAATTTTGATGATTCCAACAGTTCCGTATGATAATTTTGGACTTAGGAGCGTGTCCGAAATTTTATTTGGAAGTCCGTAGTTAAATTAGGCTTGAAATGACTAAAATAGGAATTTAAGTTTGAAAGTTTGACTGGGGAATTAACTTTTTGATATCGGGGTCAGAATCCAATTCTGAAAATTTTCATAGCTCCGTTATGTCATTTATGACTTGTGTACAAAATTTGAGATCAATCGAAATTGATTTGATAGGTTCTGATATCGAATGTAGAAGTTAGAAATTCTTAAGTTTCATTAGGCATGAATTGGGGTGTGAATTGTGATTTTAATATTGTTGGATGTGATTTGAAGACTCGACTAAATTCGTATGATGTATTAGGACTTGTTGGTATATTTGGTTGAGATCCCGAGGGGCTCGGGCATATTTCGGATGGTATTCAGATTATTTTCCTTCATTTTGGCACTGCTAGTAGTTGTCGTTTGCTCGTGTTTCAAACCTTCTTCGCGATCGCGGAGATTGGGACGCGATCGCGTAGGCTTAGTTGAGGCAGTGTTGATTTTGTTCTTCGCGATCGCGGAGATTGGGACGCGATCGCGTAGGCTTAGTTGAGGCAGTGTTGATTTTGTTCTTCGCGATCGCGTGAGGTCAACCGTGATCGTAGGTTGGGCCAACCTGTGCATCGCGATAGCGTGGCATTGTTTGCGATCGGAAACTTGAGAGGAAGCTGGGCCACGCATTTGCTCTATGCGATCGCGTGAAAAGGGATGCGATCACGTAGAGTTGGAATCTTGTGCATCGCGATCACGTGGCATTGCTTGCGATCGCGTAGGGTTAAACCTGGGCAGTGAAAAACCGTACTTCGCGATCGCATGTGATTGTTCGCGATCGCGTAGAGCAAATCTCTGGACATAGAGTTTAAGTGCTGAAAACTATTTTTGACGGATTGGAGCTCGGGAAGAGGTAATTTTTGGGAGATTTTCAGAGAAAACATCCNTTAAATTATTTTATTTTGTTATATTCTCCATCATTGATCTGATTTATATACTTTAAATTTGCTTAACTTTCTCCTGCTAATTGTTTTTACATGTTTAGCTGAAACTTAGTTTCTTTTATTCTGTGCATTATTTGAAGGTGAAATTTCTTTAATTTAAATATTATTAATATGAAATATTTGATATTTTAAATTTGGAACTGAGGTAACGTATAAAAAAAATTAAATATTATTTTTTTTTCCTGAGTTATTTATTCCCGAATATTTTGTGAGATTTTGTACTCATTGTGATTGAGCCGTGAGCTCCCTGTTGTGGAAAGTATTGTTGATGTTGTTTATTTTGGAAAATTGAATTATTTGGGCACTTGAGGTGCAAATTGTGATATATTGTGATATTGATACGCATGCGGTGATATAAGGTCTGGGTGTTGAAATGCATGCGGTGAGATAAGGGTGACTTGATACGCGTGGCTAGTAGTGGAATTACTAGAAGTCATGTGGTGTGATAAGGGTGACTAAAACGCGGGATGCTATTTCGGGAAAAATATTTTTCTTTAAAATTAAATGTGAAGGCTCCCGCGGTGATATAAGAAAATGAGATATTGTGAATTTATTTATGATTTGGGACTCCGAGGCGGTACCCCGAAAGTGCCCTTGTTGATATTGATTTATGGCCGCAGTTGCCTTTGATTATTGTTGTGATTTTCTAAAAGTTGAAAAGAATTCTGTTTTGTTTCCACGAGGTATTATTTGCCTTTATTTTGTGTAGTTAATTGGTGACATACTACTTACTTGATTCATTTCCATTGTCATTTCATTTCTATTATATTGTTAAACATTTCACCTTGTCTTTTATTATTCCAGTAGGGCCTGACCTGACCTCGTCACTACTCTACCGAGGTTAGGCTTGGCACTTACTGGATACCGCTGTGGTGTACTCATACTACGCTTCTGCACATCTTTTCGTGCAGATCCAGGTACATCCTACCAGTCCAGACATCAGTGAGCTACCTGTGTACGAAGACTTCGAGGTATATCTACCAACGTCCGCAGACTCCGGAGTCCCCTTCTATCATTATTATGTTGCTTCCTTATTTTTCTTAGACCCTGATATATAGATATATTGAGGATCCGGATTTTGGGAGTTGTAATTATGTGAATTGCAGATTTATTTATTTCATATTTCAATTGTTATTCCGCATTGATAGGCTTACCTAGTCTTAAAAACTAGGTGCCATCACGACATCCTACAGAGGAAATTTGGGGTCGTCACAAGTTGATATCAGAGGTCTAGGTTCATAGGTGTTATGAGTCACAAGCAGGTTTAGTAGAGTCTCGCGGATCGGTACAGAGACGTCTATACTTATCTTCGGGAGGCTATGAAACTGTTAGAAAAATATTCACTTCTTTGATTCCTTATCGTGCACATTTGTTGACTTCAAAATTTTAAACCATTGTCTTTCTATTATCTCACAGATGGTGAGGACATGCACAACTATATCCGATGATCAGACATCCGCGCCCCCCGTTAGAGTCGCAAGAGGCTGCGGTCGGGGCAGAGGCCGAGCCAGAGGAAGACCACGTGGTGCAGCCAGAGTACTCGCACGAGCTGCTGCAGAGGAACCACAAGTAGCTCTAGTTGGAGAACATGCACCTGAGACGCCTGATACTACTCCTGCACTTCAGGAAACTCTTGCCTAGTTTTTGAGCATGTTTGGCACTCTAGCTCAGGCAGGGTTAATTCCACTTGCTCCTGCCACATCTCAAGCTGGGGGAGGAGCACAGACTCCCGCGCGCCCGTACCCCAGAGCCACGGGCCCAGGTTAACCATGCCCCAGAGGTTATACCAGTGCAACCAGTTGTCCCCTTCTATCATTATTATGTTGCTTCCTTATTTTCCTTAGACCCTGATATATAGATATATTGAGGATAAATTCTTAAAAACTTGTGACTTATTTCTACTGGGTTTTGGGAGTTGTAATTATGTGAATTGCAGATTTATTTATTTCATATTTCAATTGTTATTCCGCATTGATAGGCTTACCTAGTCTTAAAAACTAGGTGCCATCACGACTTCCTACGGAGGAATTTGGGATCGTGACAATATGGCTCACAGACTTCAGCAAATGAGAGATGACCAAGGCAATTGCGTCACCTCCTTGTACTTAAAATCTGTGGTACTAATTTGTTATAACTTCTTTCCCTGCTTGTACTATCCCAGGCTTATTGAAATAAATTGCAGATGACGTTTTACTAATAAACGGTCTGCACATGATTGAAGACCTCATTTGAGAGATGGAGCTGCCGACTGACTTCATCAATTTAATAGTCTTCTCAAAATTCCTAAATTATGAACATAAAACTATCTGAAGAGAAGAAAAGCTCATAGGTGTATCTGTATCACACACTGCTTCATACTTCTCCGTTATCCAGCAGCCCCAATTAACTATCTCTGACGAATTATTCCTTTTTTTAATAACCATAGTGTCCAGGCCAGCTTATGCACACCTCAACTAATTCCACAAGTTACCTGCAAAGATCTGTTCCAGTAGGAATTTTGAGTTGTCATGACATAGAATCATTAAACTATGCTACATACTCGGTAAATCAAGGTTTTAGACATCACACTGAAAGCAAAGTTTTTATAAAATCATGACATAAGGAAAAAAAAAAGTCATCCAATCAGGTAAATTATGTAAGAAAAAATCAAGAAATGGCACCCCAAATGATTGTTTACTTTACCATTGAGGCAATCTTTTTAAAGACAAAATCAATTCGCATTTAGCATCGCCTCTTTAGCTCCTAGGTTTATATACCAAAACAGCCCAAAAAAAAGAGTTTATCGTGAACACTTTAAAGAGGTAACAAACCACATCTTCAAGTGAACCAACTCCAAAACGTTTTAGTATAATAAAGTTAGCAGCACCATAATAAATATTTACACTTTTAAATTATTGTGTCAAAGGAAAAACTTACTGAAAACCTAGATAAAGTCTTTAAATTGCAATGCACAGTACGTCAACGTTGTTTTCAATTGGAGTAAAGGAATGAATTGTACAGAATACATATACTTTCTTTTCTTTCTTTTTCCTTTCAAAATACAGATGCTTTCCTTGGCGGCTAGATAGAAAGTAGATGTAGCGAAATTAAATCCTAGAAACCGATCAACAAAGGTGCTATGTTGTCATTGAACAATTTTAAAGTCAATAAACATGAAGCATGTTATCACGGGCCCGTTTTCTTACGCTCGCAAGCGGCACCGACTCGCCCGTGCGGCGCCTGCAGTTCCCCTCGCTGCAGGCCAGCCTTCGTCCTTTCCCAGGTTTTCAAGCACGATCCTGTGCCTGTTGGTGGGACTCGCCCATGAGGCTCGCCCCAACTTGTGCCGCCCGTAAGATGTCTAGGCACTTGGCCCTAGACATGTTGTGGCGCTGCATCTTAGGATCACAATCCATGCGCGCCCTGGGGGATTGGCTTAGGACATGTCTTGTCCCTCGCCCAAGACTGAGCATCGCACCCGCGTGCACAGCCCAATCCTCAAGCTTGACATTCGCCTAGTGCATCCGCGACTAGCTCGTGCTCTGCCCGAGTAAGGAAACCTTTAGTCTTTGGCCACTGTCATGCGCGTCTTTCGTGCCATGCCCATACATAGCCCTCGCGACACGCTTCCATTCCGAATAGTGCAGTGTCGCCCCACAACTGCACCTTTAGGCCAACAGACCCTTGCTTGCATGGTTGAACCCAAGCCATGCTCACAAGTCGACACATGATGCCTCTATGACAGGTGTGTCGAGTATCCAATCGGCACGGATGTCCTTCCAACATTCGACAGCCCGCGGGGCTGGTCGTCCCACACATCGAGCCTCCAGCGCCTACTTGATGCCCAACGCTAGCCCGAAGGCGTTGCGCCGTCCATAGAGTTCCCTAACTCGTTTGGATACCTAGGACACTCCTTTGAGTCATCCAGGCAGGCCCTTGAGGTTGCCCCTAAGGTAGCTCGTTCAATACGGCTTGGTGGAAACACGTATGGGGGAGGCAGGTCGGAGCTTTCATCACCTATACCCCCTTATATATGCTTAAAATTAAAAATACCAAGTTGCCCGAGTAGAAAGATCCACGTCAGACAATCAGAAGAGCCTTTTCTCACCAGTTCTTTGCCGAAGTCAAAACCTCAATGTGCGGGTTGTGACAATGTACTATTAAGAATGAGAATCTATGGAGTAGAAGAAAACACCTTTTAAATATCAAACAAGTTTCACTTTATACTGTGTTTTGCCTACTCTAACTCATGTCTAAGATATTCAAACCATAGGCATGCTAAATGGCCAACTTGTGTTTTAAAGGCTGGACTTGTCGTAGAAAGTAGCAACATCATTTTGCTTTCTTATTCTACTTTCTTTTCTTGTATCATCTATTGGATCTAAAGAATTACTGGTCAGTCACTCTTCATTCATTTCTAATAATCCATTCTTAGTAAAATGCCTAGCAATACCTTGTCTCGGGACAACTTTGGTTGAGTTCGTATGATTCACGGGTAATCAGTTGGCACAGCTTCTCAGCCAGTCAGAGTTATTTCTTTGAGAAGACTAATCACCTGAAAAGCCGGAAGAAAGGAGTTGAAATTAATTTTTTTATCAAGAATAAGGGAGTTGAAACTACTAAACCTGAATGTAAAATTCAGCATATTTACATTGGATATTGTAAACTAACTGAATCAAATGATACTCAGGATGAGTCACATTCTTGCAGATTAACCAAACAACTAAGAAGATATTGAAGTAAGAAATGCAGAGTTAAAGAATGAAAAAGAATAAGTAATTTTCCTACCAAAGCTTGTCCGGCCAAGAAATTGAGCTATCAACCCCTACAGTAGTCTTAGAATACAGAATATTTTTCAATTGAGAGAGATATCGTGTAAGTTTAATTTCGAGTAGCTTGTCTAAAGGGAGTTCAAAGAAGTCATACCAAGATTGAAGAATGAACTTACTATATACATTGCAAATGTGATAAATTGAACACAATAAGATACTTCATATTTGTAAATCACAAATATTCTATTTTCTCCAATTGGTTTGCCAATAAAGCACGCTCCTCAACATTGTCATATATTAAAGTGTGAAATTAAATCTAACTTGTGTGACTTTTACCTCAGTTAAAACCATAAGAAAGTTATCCAGCACTATCTCAATTAAGTACATGTATTTCCTTGCAAACTATTCTTCTTTTTCGGTCTCATTGTCAATTTTGGAAGCACATATAAAAATATTAGGAGCTGATAAATCTGTTGCTACGATCACGTCATCTAATGTAGTTACACGACCATACCAATCTTCTGTATTCTAAAAGTTAAATTTATTTCTTTGCAATGACTTGACCAATCTGTCATGTGATAATAAGTTTCTTCCAGGTAACATATGTCCCAAAGCTAACCGAAATTAAATAAAATCAATCTGTCGTGGCCCACACAAAGAAAACTCGACCTCTTCAACATTTCTGCAGCCAGAGTCTCAAATCTTTCCAACCTCACCAACTCCCAATTCCTTTACTGCCACCCCCTCTAAGTCAGTATCCATCTCGACAATTTCGCGACATAGCGTCTCTTCCCCTTTTTTCTGATTTCCCTGTCTTTCTTCTCTTTACTTCTCTTCTGTTATCAAATTTCCTAAACCTTAATCCAAACCAAAATCCGGAGAATCCAATAAAATATGTCAAGCAGTTGGTTATCGCTTTTTAAGAATTAAAACCGAAAAAATGCACCTCATCCTGAAATCACTTATAGTATCGAATTTCCATGAATTCTATGTTAGCTTTAACTAACAACTTAATTAATATATGTAGTTTGTTATATGTCAGTAAAAAAGCCGCCATAAGATTTCTCAAGATGAAACAGAAAGCTAGCTAAAAGAACCAAGTCGAACTTGTTACCAGAGTAGCACACACAAACGAACATGAAATTTCAGCAAAAGCAAGTCTCGCCTCTCAGCAGAACTCGTAATTTTATGTTTCAGCAATGCCAATACGGAGAACAGCAGGGGGGAGAAAATGAATCACCCAGCAGCCGCAAAAAGAAAATCGACCTGCGCAAAACAGAGTGAGGAAAAGGATGAGCTGACAAACGGTGAGTCCAACTGCGTTTGCAGCCACGTTTTACAAGACCGACACTCGTCACTCTTTGAAAATACATATCCAGCACTGACTCCAACCCTATGAGAATGACCTTAACCCAAATTACATAGCTTTAATTCCAAACCTAAAAGGAAAAACAAAGGGAATGACAAAGATCTACCAACACAGACAAAAGGGAAGATTGAAGAATTGCACACCACGTGTTTGACAAAGCAAAGTACACCTCAACACCTGATAGACGCGGCAAACATCTTATTACCTCATCTTCTCTAGTCTTGCTTTGGTGTGAAGAGTTATAGTGGAAGCAACTTGGGCTTGAGTTCAATTCGACCAGAACTCTCGAATACCAAAAACCCAGGAACAAAATCAACAGCCCACAATACCAAACTTAGGGAGAAAACGAAGGGGAAAAGAGAGATTTATACCTTGAACAATGTAAAGAGATGAGAGAGAGAGAGAGCAGGGGGAGATGAGAAACTGAAGACCGTGCTGGCGCTTATGTGTTGAACAAAAAGGATGTACACGGGAACAATTTTAAGCCACTTAGAGGGCAGATTTCAAAAAATAAACCGGATAGCAGGACGACGAAAAGCACCTCAACTCCCGCTTCTAAATTAGAAAATATACATTCATTTGTAACTCAGTTTCTTACTTTATTGTCTATAACACTAATTTTGATGGTTTAACTCTATTTTACTAATCAGTTTTACTCGTTCGAGTACGAACATTATTTTATAGTTGTTTTGACGACGACATCTATGATTTTTCTTGTGAACTACAATTTAACACATATCCGCGCATCAAATCCAACCTAATAAGAGTTATACCATAGTCTGGCTACAAATGGAATCATATTAACTGTCGAATTAAAATAAAAGTTGATATTAACTACAGTTACTTCTGAATTCTTTATTTATCTACTTTGACGTTTTGTCTATTTTTTACTCTACCAGTTTATTTTTTGACTTTTCACGTCCTCTTAAGAAATAATAAATTAAATGCATAATTTATCATGATACTCATATTAATTGATGCATATTTTATTGGATTTGAGAAAATGATTTGAAATGAGTAATAAATACTGTGGATATAATAGGGGGAAAAAAATTATCTTCTCTTGATATGCGTAAAATGACAATCAAAAATAAAAATTTATTTTTAGTATAGATTTCAAGTAAAAAAGTGATGGAGTACCAACTTTTGACAGGGGACAGCAATATTCAAAACATAAGACTATGGGACGCTTGAAAATTGCAACTTTTTTGCAACTTCAAAAATCAAAATTTATTATGTCTAATTTAATGACCTACCAAAATCATGATCTTATTCAGAAAATCACATCCATAGATTTTAATTAAGGGTAGCAATTTATTTTGTTTCTTTATTTGACCAGCCAAAATTTTGAATACTTTCAAAATTTGTCCTTATGATCTCCATATGCATTCATTTGTACTAATCACTCAGTTTGTATGCGGTAGTCTATAATACTGTTCTTGATAATTCAAATTAATTTGACATATTATTTTAGTTAGAGTCAAATCCACTTTACCCCTTAACCTTTAAGGGTTGAGAAACAATACCCCTCACGTTTTGAATAGAAAATGGAACCCCCTTGTGCACTAGCTTTCCGGTGAAATAATTTTTTTCAAATAAAAATCATTTCTTTTTTGAATAGATAATTTTTAGAATAACCAAGTTCTTTCATTATATCCAAAAGCTCAACATATGACAAACAATATAGGATCTATATAATTTATGGAGTTTTCCGTTTGCCTTTTTCCCGCATAGTTTAAGATATGATGTAATGTAAAAACGCCTCCATAATAAATTTTCAAATATGACATTATCAACTATAATTTCTGTTCAATAAAGATATTTTTAAAATAAGTAAAGTTTAATAATTGCTTTATTATAATAATTTTAATATACAAAGAAAATACATAAATAAATTAATACTCATAGCAATAATTCTTTCATCTAATATATGTCAGAGAATTGACTATTTCAGTGTATCTTTTTCCCTTCATGAAATGCTAAAGCATCCACGGTGAATGTGCGTTCAACATATTTCTTGAATTTTATATGCAATTTATTTTCTTTATTACAAAAATTTTAACAATGGCCTCAATATAACCTCGATATAATAGAAAAATATCTTAAATTTTACAAGCAAACAAAAAGACGAAATTCAAGTATTGGTTTGGTTGAAAAATATTATACTTGATCTTTGAAAGGATAGAGAGATAAAAAAATCTTTATTTTAAAAAAGAAACTCTCACCAAAAAAAAAAATTAAATAAGGGGTGTTCCCTTTCAAAATGTGAGGAGGGTATTGTTTTCCAATCCTTTAAGGTTAACAGCTTGTTTGGATCGTTGTTACCCATTGTATCGTATTGTATTGTTTTTTCCAAAACAATGTTTGTTTTGATTGTTTAGTTAAAATTGGTTGTATTGTATTGTTAAATCCATTGTTCCGGAACAGTGAAAAGTCCCATTTTTTGAAATAGCCGATTTGGTGTGGTAGGATCGTTTCCTATTTTTCTTTCTAATTATGCCCTAACTTATTACTTTACAATTCTATTTTACCTTTTACCCTTTTTTATTTTAAATAATAGCAAAGTCTCTTTCTCATATAATTTTATAATAGAATTCTACGTGAAGTCTAATAACCTATATAAATTCTCAAAGACATCATCCCAAATATAAGCTATATACGTGAAGTCTAATAACATGAAAATCCCGTTCCTTCTGCCGCTTCCAAACTCTTCAGGTATAGGTTTTCCCTAACTTTTGTTTTATTCTTTCTTCTACTTTGATTTGTAATTCCAATTCTAATTACTTTATCTCCAATTAGCTTTATGATATTGGTTGTTAAGAAATATTACTTATGATCTAAATTCGAAATGGAGTCTACTTAATATTTTATTATTATTTTTTATTATTATGATCTAATTATGAACATAGTGTACTTATTATTATTTTTAATATTATTAAGTTGTTCCACTAATTTCGATAGGATTTGCATGAATTTAATTGCTTAACTTATATATAAGACATAATTGGTGATAAATTAGTAGAAAGTGATTTTCTTAAATAATTTTTAGGTAATTCTTGATAAATTAAATATTTAAAAAAATTGAGAGTATTTTAGTAAACTTATCAGTTACTGTACAATACGATACAGTCAAACCAAACAGCAAAATGTTATTTAACAATAATAAACAATACAGTCTATCCAAACATTATATTCATAAAACGATACGATACAATACAATACAATATAATACGATACATTATAAAACGATGGGTAACAATGATCCAAACAAAGTGTAAGGGAGTAAAGTGAACTTTTTAGACAATATGGCCGTCAATTATGTCCTAGAAAAATCAAAGGTTACGATATATCTAAATTGGTGAAATATCCCTGGCTACTCTGTGAAATATCTGGTGTGCATCGCTACTGGCTACTGCTTTGAAAAAGTCACATTTAAAGAATTTTGTTTGTGTTATACGTAAAAAATTTAGATAAGAAAAAACAAAATTGGCTTCGTTTATCTGTTAGTTATATTTTCTATTTCTTGATAACAGTTTTTCGCAATAAGCTAGCCTCTTGTTTCAGCAAATTTATTGTGATTTTTATAAGACTCTCCTGCTCTTTTCCAGTTGGGTTTAAGATTAAATGTGCTTACTGATTACAATATTCTTAATTATATATCATCTTCTATATAAAATTTAAGATTATCACTCCATATTTAAAATAAAATCAAATTTGTGAAAGGTTTTTTTCTCCTCTGAATCTTAGATATTGAAGTAAATTGGCGCTTAATAATAATTTTATTTTCAAAATTTTGTCAACGAAATATTTCATCCTCTTTTTTTTTTTGGTAATTAAACATTTTCCATTAATCACCAATGTAACTTTACAAAACCACAATTGGCTTTATCACATCCCTCTGCCTCATCTAAGAGTTCCTACCTATACCACTACTACAAACAATGTCTTTGGCGGCAATAAAAAATAACATTGGCGGCAATAACTATAGCCGCTATATTATTTACCGGTAATTGGTATTTAGCCGCTAAAGTCGGGGTCGGTAAAGCCTTTAGCGGCGTTTCTCATAAAAGCTGGTAAAGGGTATGACTTATTGCCACTAAAACGCATTTGCTTCAGGTGCGCGGCCAGATGTGCGGCCATATTTGAGAGTTTATTTGAGAGTTTATGCCTCAGGTGCGCGGCCAGATGTGCGGCCACTTGCCCAGGTGTGCGGACGCACACGTAGGAACCCATCAAATAATCATGATACACCTAGTGTTTGATAAAATGCTCAAATGAGCTAGAACCATGATCATCCTCCTAATTTTAGTTCAATTTGTTATATTTCTACAATAGATTGAAGTTGCTAAGAATTCCGAAATATTTTAGAGTTTATGGAGGTTCGATTGAGGTATGTTGGCTAAACCTTCTTTAAGAATTGGAATTCCCATTATCCTTGTAAGTTCCAAAATGTTGATTACAAATCGAGTATTCCGATAAGTTTTGTGATAAAGATATATGTTCAAATTCGTGTTTCAAATGCTCTTATCATATTGCATTATAAATTGAGGATGTGTTCCAAACTATGGATTGTGTATCCACATGTTAAAATTTCAAGTCATGATTTATGTGAAAGTTATTATGCCAAGTTGTGTAGAGATTGTGATTGTGATACACCTCCACCCGCATATATTGGGGTAAGGCAGCATGACTGCTTTGTGTAGGGATTAGGGTATTGTGGGACTACACCTCCACCCGCATACATTGGGGTGAGGCGGTACGATCGCTTTGTGTATAGTTTTGGTATTGTTGTGGCACCTCCACCTACATATATATATATATATATATATTGGGGTGAGGCGGCATAGCCGCTTTGTGTTGGTATTGGTAT